GGATTGAGGAGGGATGTGATTTCTCTTTTTAATTACTTTTTTTGTAATTGAGGTGTTAGAGTCATCATTAGGATTTCTGTCATTTTTGTGTTTTTGTAACCATGTGTATTGAGTGAATATGCTTTTCGAACTAGTGTTTCGAATCGAACTGCTAATTCTTTAATTGTTTCATTTTGTAGTCTACGAATTTCATTGCATAAAACTCTTTGATGTTGTTTGTTTCTTTCTGAATGAAACATTTTTGAGAATTCTTGTGCGAATCTTTTCCAATCTGATTTTTTTCAATAGGTAAAACTGAAAACAATTTTTGGGCTGCGCCGTCAAGTGTAGTTTGGATTAAAGCTGTTCGTCTATGTATCCAATTTTGATGAAGTCGCGTGTTTTTTTGGTTCAGGTCCTATATTTAAATTAGGTTTGCTGTGACTGCGTTTAGATAATCTTCTACAGAGCATTGAGGATCTGTGCCTGTGAATACCATTAGTGGTTTATTTGATGTTATTGATGATCCACCCATTAGGTATGGATTCATAGTCATTTGTAGTGATTCGGCGGCATGTGGCATTTGAGAAAAATTTGTTAGTTGGCTTTTTGTTATTTTGTGTTGTTGTAAATAATATGGCAGTGGGATTTCGTTTTGCATTTGAGTTGGTTGGTATGATTGTGTGATGACGGGATTTTGTTGATGAAAATTTTTGTTGTGAGATGTTGGGTTTTTTCTATGTTGTCGTATTTGTTCATTTCGTGTATATGGTTCAAAAATATCTGGTTGCTCAATACTGTAAGAACCAGGTCTTTGGTTTCAGTAAAATCTTTGATGATTTTGGTTATAATATTCTTCATCATCTGATGGAAAATAATTTTGTGCATAATAATGAGGTTCTTTTTTTGGTTCATTATTTATTTGTAATTTTTTTATTTTGTTGAAAAAATGGGTAATTTCCACTTTTTTCTTGTGAGGATTGTGGTTGATTATGAAAATTTGCTATGTTTGAAATTGTTTATGGTATATTTTGACTTTGTGCAAATATTTGAGTATTTGTCTGAGGTTTTGTTGTTTTTGGTCAATTTACATAATTGTAATTATGTTCTAGAAAATTAATTCTATGCGATGTTTGTTGTTTGTATGATGGTTTGGTTACTGGTCGAAACGTTTGGTAATCCATGTGTGAACATTTCTTGCAACAGAAATTTTTACTGTTGATTGTATGATTGTTTGTTGTAATGTTGAATTTTTTAATTTTGGAGTTGTAAAATTTAGTTGAATAGGTGAAACTCTTCGTTGTGTTTCTGCTGTTGTTAATGTTTCAACAATTTCTTCGTTTACAAAATGTGATGGCGTTTGTATATCATGTTGTGTAAGACTTCTTGTTCCATTCAAGTTATCATTATTTATAAATGTAGAAATTAAGCTATTATTTCCTGTTCTTTCAGGGAAGATTGAAATATAATTTAAAGGTGTTGCGTCAACTGTAAGTGGATATACTCTAACATAGTCGTTGTGAATAGACATTGTGTTAATTGCTTGACTTGATATATATGTTGGGATGTTAATAAATGATTCATGAGACCATTCAGGGTCCCAAACAGAATCTGATTGTTCTGCTATTACAGTTTCGTCATCTGTAGTTTGTGGTAAAAAAATTTTTCTTGCTTGTTTAAAAAGATTCCATATTGTGATGTGAGACTACATATACCTTTGAGATAGTGGTTAAGAAGTTTTTTTAATTTTTATATCTGGAAATTCTTTTGTGCACGGACTTTCTCCCATTTCGAATAAGTTTGCAATTAAAATTTGACAAAATTCTATCTGTCCTCGAGGTTCAGTTAATGGGCTTTAAAAATAGAAGTACTGAATTGTCTGGGTTATCTTCAGTTTGAATCATTTGCGTGTTGTCTTACTGTTAATGTGTAATTTTCAATGTGTCATTTTGTTGAATCTAATTGTACAAACGTATTGGTTTGTTTGTGTAGCAAATTTTTATTTTTCGTTTTCCTTTTACTGATGCTGTTGACGTGGTTTCTGAATCAGTGAATTATAGTTGACCGTCAATTTGTTTATTGAGTCTTTTAAATTGTTTGAAGTTTTCGTACTGCGGTTGTTTCTGATTCTGAGACTGCGTTTCTTTGTTTTGAAACACTTTTCCTAATAAATTGTTTTCATTTGTTAATTATTTTCTTTCTTAGTGTTTGTCTTTTTGTTCTTATTTATCCTAATGATTGTCTGTGTGGTGTGATTACGAGGTCAAATTTGTCATCGTTAATTGAACAATTGTGTAATATTATTGTTTGTTTGTTTCCTAAATGGTCTCATGACATAAGGTTTAGTATGATGGGTGCAAAATTTGGATTAGTAATTTTAATGCCTAAATCTGTTAGTTCTTTCGATTTTTTGTGGTTAGCTTAACTTGGGTAGTATATTTGGGTAGTATTTTAGCGTATATCGATTCCGAAGAATGACTTGTTTTGTCTCGTGACTAATTCTAAGCTAAGATTGACCTACCTAATCTTACTTAGGGGTTGTGATTTGTGATCAAGGGTTAGAGAATAGTAAATCGATCCACAAGGTTCAAGTATGATTAGAAAACGAGTAGTTCGTTAGATACTATTTTATGACTTACTAAGTTTAAGTGTTTTAGCCTGGGTCAACTAAGAAGAGGGGGATCAAGTGAAGGATGAGTAACCGAAGTTCTTCACTGTTTATCCTAATTAAAATGGTTAGTTTGTTGAAAACTTTCTGTTAGTTCTGGGTCTTTGATAAGGGTTGGGTAGTGAAACGACGTTTGAGGTCATTAGACACCGATTCAATTGGGAGGGAGAGAACAAAATTGTTCTATTCGATTTAAGGATAGGCCTTAATTATCAGAGACTTTAAATAATTAGAAATTTGAAAATTTAGATTTAGATTAATTTAAAGATCCAAGAAAGCCTTGATGATCTGAAATTAATTTGAGTGAAAGCAAGGATAAGCCTTGATAGTTTTAAATTAGAGGGTTTTATTTTTGATGATTGCTAGTTTTTTGAAATTTGCTGTTATGTTTTAAGTGATAAAGCTGAGATGATGAGATAATTTAAAAATACTAACAATTTATAATTCATACTAACTAATTTTTGTATTTTTATGTTTAATAAATATTTTTTCAAGATGTTATTAATTTTACAGCTAACTTAAGGAAAACGGCAAGCGTTGTTTTTATCAGTTGTTGTTGTACAATTAATAGATTTAGCGTCATGAAAAGTTATTGAAGATTATTCTTCAAATATTATGTCAGTAAATGAAAATTTAAACTTACTGCTCAAAGTATTCTAAATACGAAAGTTCGATCTCGTTTTTGTCGTTCTATCATGAAATCGATTATTAGATTTCTTCCTAGTCTTTTGTCGTTTCTTGTTCGACCTCTTCTTCCAAAACCGGGTAGTTCTCGTATTGTTCTGAATATTGGATCTGATCTAATGAAATGTAGAGACATATCTATTAAGTTCTTATCATGTAACATTTCTATAAAATGTCTTATTTGTCTAATTCTAATCTAATTTTTGTCTAACTCTAGGTTAGTTAAGGTCTGTTTGAGACTTTTGGTCGCACCAGATGAGTTATATACTATGTACTGTACTCATAGAGTAATTTCAGATAGGATACACCGTCTGCTCGTCACGCTATCTTATTTTCGTCCGGATAGATTCGTGCAACTTCTTAGTCTCATACCGATCTTAATCTTACTCTTATATCTCCTAGTCTCAATAGATCTAGTGTACACCGGTTTGCGCGAGTTAGTTCCAGAATGAGAACAACTGTATTCTAAGTTTAATTCAAATTGTTCTGGTGTTGAAACTACAAATAGTTTCAACAATTTACAAATAAATAGGTTGTTAGTTTGATGGAGTATGATTGGTTGATACTCAAAATTTTATAGAGATAAAATATCATATTAATAACCAATGATAAATACTAGTTTAGATCTGGTTTCAATATACTGACTGCCTTTCAATTGTCTTAAATGGTCTTTATATCAGATAATTTTCATAAGTAAAAAAAAAGCCACAAAACAGATTATTAAAAAATACGTTGCGTCTGCTAACTCATAATCAGTCAGTGACCTGATTTCAACAATACGAGGTCAATTTGTGTACTTTATCAATCAGGGGCGGCTCTAGGATTATCTCGAGGGGGGGTCGGATTTTCAAAATTTTGAAAATCAGGTCAATATAGGCGTTTTTAGGCACTTTTTAGTAAATTTTGACCAAAAAATTGCGTTTTTTTGGCGCGCGCTCCCTTAAAGTAAGTATATATTGGCTCCGAAGGTGCCTTTAGAAAGTTTTTAGTGTCCGTCACCAATATGGATATCTCAAAATAGTACAAAGGGGGCTTAAAATAGTACAAAGGGTGGACAAAAAAATGGATATCTCAAAATAGTAGAAAAAAAATTTCACTCCCTTATGAATATCATTTTTTTTGGAAACCTCAACAAAGCTAATACGCCCACAGAATTTACATTAAAGGTATTTTGCGCAAAACCCACGGAAACTTTGTTATTGGAATCCACTCACCTTTTGGAACAGGCTCAAATACTTGTCTCTGGATTCCAGGGACCTACAGTCACTACATTGTGCGCCTATCCAGTGCACAGTTTGGCCTCGTAATGAATTATATGCTGTTAACTCATTGATGTAAGCCTCTGTACATTATAGATTACATATTTGCAAAATCGATTGCCAAATTTCGGACGTTTTGAGCTTGATAATTATGTGGTACCAATTATGGGGGGGGGGTATTGTTTTATGGTGGCATACGCAGTTTTGCGAGTGAACATTTGTCTGAAAAAGAAAAACAGATACCACAACTCCTTGTGTACAAAACATGTTTGATATTATACCAAAAACTGCTTGGTATGTTTAATAACGTACCAAAGGCTGCTAAAAGGAATACTGTTTGGTACATTATGATCAACTTCATCTACTTAATTGATCGACTTGAATTTGTTTATTTTTTAGATGAGAAAATTCTTGCTCATCAGCGTCTGGTACCGTACCAAAACGCTGCAGAAAGATGCTTTTCACCTCAAGAAAAAGTAGAAGATTGTAGATTTAAGAAAAGCTGATTAAATTGGAGTGACTCAAAAAATTTTTTTTAACATTTTCATCTGCCGGTATGAGAAGATTGAACCGAAAACTAGTTGCAGCTAATCGTAGTTTTGTTCTTGTTCTTTTATTTTTATCGTTTTGTTTGCTTCATCTAACAGGTTTGTGCTAATGAATGGTGAAAAATAAATCAATTTTGAACGAGGTAATCACATATTTTGAGCCTGCTTTGATTTAGATTTTGGACGAGCGATATCTAGCAGGCTCCATCCGACTCAGTCAAAACTATGTGAAGGTTAGTCATACATTTCCAGCCTGTCTTCGCCCTATTCAAAGTGTTGGAAACTTTATTCCAGATTAATTTCCGAATCAGTCGCGGCAGCCCTGAAAAATAGTTTTAGCGCCGCGTTATGATAATTGACTACATGAAATGAGGAGAGGAACTTTGATTATCTCTTTTGAAACCAATAACGGCGCGCAGTAGCGATTTTAGAGAGATGCCCTCTCTTTCTAAAGAAATCGTTAGAGTTCTTCTATGCTATTGTTTTATGATATCAATTTTTGGCCGACAGGCATTGATAGCCCAATTTTCTTATAACTCAGGTGGAGTTTGAGGCTCTGAAAAAGCTGTTTATACCAAAAAATGCAGGTGTGATCTTAGGTTCAATTGGACTTTACACTGTAATTTGTTTTGCATTTTTGAGCAAATGAGCAAGATATGCTTTTTGATGGTGAACAAACAAAATAAGCAAAAGTACTTTATGTTGAAAACAAAAACTAGATTTTCACATTCATTTTAGATATAACTACTGCTGCTAAAGACTTTTTTGTAGTTTCTAAATTTTTTGTAGTACCTCTTCCGCCCTCTGATGTGTCAATCAATGGACAGTGGAAGCGAAATGGTGCCCTCCTAACAATAACCGTCAACAACCCCCCTCCACCTTATTATCACCACTTTGAAATAGAAGTACGAGACGGAGAAGATGACCAATTAGTAGTCAACTCAGAAGTGCACTGGGATACTTCTGTTAAATTTGAGTTGAAAAAATCAGATCACCCCTATGAGATATTTGTTCACACTGTAGTTACATGTCCAAATGGAACAGAGCTGAGAAGCAATCATCCATTCAAGGGGAGCTACAAGACAGGTGGGTGAGAAAACATTTAATGGAAAACTTTGATCGCGAATGCAAATAACAATAGCATCAAATTGAAACTCATTTGATCTTGATATCAATTTGAAATTCTTAAGTTTTTAGCACAAAAGGAATCTTAAAAACTTTTTTTCTTCACTTTTGTCCGTCATCTGCAGGAGGAATGTACTTAAAAAAAACTAAACTTCACACTTCAGCCAGTAGATAGAACAAGACTGCTGGTATATCAGGACAAAGCCCTGAATGTTCCGATTGTCCCTTAATTCATATCGAATAGTTTTTATGGAAAAAAATATTAAAAACCTATACATTCTGTCGTTGATAATTATTATTTCGATCGGTGAAAATTGACTGAATAATAAAAAAAACCACACCGCGCATAGATGTTCCGTTTTCTTCGAAAGTCGGAACAACAAACAACAAACTACAACAAAGAGATTGATTTCATTTTTCAAGGCAAATTGCCCGAAATCCGGAAAAATTCAAATTATTGCTTCTCTGAAAGAATCTTTCTCAATTATTTTTCGCAATTAGAATCACGCCTGGGAGGATTTTTGTTAAAACGTTACTCTTCAAAGTTAAATAAAAAACCATCATGTTACCTTTTCGGAGGTATCAAGAAAAACTACCTTTATTACGAGGCCAAACTGGACACTGGATAGGCGCATAATTTTGTGTCTGTATGTTCCTGGATTTCAGTGACAAGTCTTTAAACGTGTGAAAATTTTATCAGAACAATCAAAGGAAAGTAAAGAACAAAAGAAGAACCAAGGGAGCGTCCTTGTTGCGGAATCCGCTTACAATTCACAAAATGCACAGTTTGGCCTCGTAATGTTGAGCCAAACTTCTTGCCCGCGAATGATTCGTCATAACAAGATTGTGTAATTTTTTTGCAGCTGTATGTTCATGTTCTTGGGCCTTTTTCAATCAACTAAAAAAAGTCTCAATATTTGCTAATTGGATCTACTTAAAAATTGCCCCCCCCCCCCTTTGGCATCTACTTAAGAATTGCCACCCCTATTAATAAAAGCAGTAAATTAGCACTGAGCTTTCTATTGAGAATTAGAATTTTGCTGCTTTCTGATTGGTCAAAAATGCGTTATTTTAATCTACCTAGTAATTGCTCCCCTTTCTTAAAAGGGGGAGGGGGCAATTGTTAAGTAGATCCTGCTAATTTACTGTATCTCAACATTGGATTCTGAAAATGTACAAAAAAATGAAAGATAAATTGACCATCAACACTACACAAATATCGATTTGTAAGAGTGAATTGACTTGTGTATTACCGCCATTTGATTGAGCAAAATTTGAGTAAAAAATATCATATGAAATCCATGCTGCAATCAATTGGCAAAAGGGGGGCAATTGTTAAGTAGATCCTGCTAATTTACTGTATCTCAGCATTTGATTCTGAAACTGCACAAAAAACTGAAAAATAAAGTGACCATCAACACTACACAAATATCGATTTGTAGGAGTGAATTGAATTGTGTATTACCACCATTTAACTGAGCAAAAGTTGAATGAAAAATATCATATGAAATCCATGCTGCAACCTATTGGCAATTGAGGTATTTAAAAATTAATCACTTTTTTGTGATTCCCTCCTTCACTGACAAACTTGAGACTGAAAGTGATTTAAAACGATTTCTATACAGATAAAATACTGTATGGCAATCGGTCTACGATAGACCATTAAAAAGGGTTAAATAGATTTTAACGGTAAAAAAATCAATTTTATTGCATAAACATTGGACTTAAATCGATTTGAAGTGAACTTTGCTAGTTAGTGAAAATCATCAATATCAGTTAAACTATTTTTTTTTTGAAGCTTGAGAAAATTTTTGCACTCAAGAAAATTGCCATCCAAGCTACAGCGAGCAAAATTCACCTGAGGAGAATTTTTCTACCCAAACTAACGCGTTTAGGAAATGCCTCCCAAATTGTGCAAAACTAAGGGCTCTAATGAGAAAGAGAACGATGCAAAATTTTTTTCAAATGTCAGTCTTTTTCATTATCAGATCTCGAGGCTCATTTTTTAGGGCAAATAAATCAGATAAACAAAAAATCAAATCGGAAAAATTCTTTTTTGGGAGCTGAAAACTTAGATATTAGTTATTTTCAATATTTAAATTGAGGCCAAATATCAACATGAAAAAAGTCATTTTTATTTGAATTATTTCTGTATTGTTTGGTAGTCCAGAAAATCTGGTTATATCTGCGTAAAAAAAACAATCTGTATAAAATGAATAGACAAAAAAATTGTTTAAAAAGTATTTGAATTGAATTATATTGATTTTAATGCCACTGAAACTTCTTAGAAAAATAGCTTAAAAAGTGGACAAAATAGGATCTAAATCGATCAAGAATCGGTTAAAATTGACTTTTAAGCTATATTTTAGTATCAAACTAAATCGTTTGTATTAGGTCTCTGCAACCTACCAGTGTAAAACAGATTGCAATTTCTTTCTTGTCAGTATAGGCTTGGTTTCTGAAACCTGAATTTTGTTGCAAGATTCATCAGTTTTTTTGACCCATTTGAACAGTCTACACACTTAATAGACCAATTGAACCGTTTCCGTCCCCAAAATTAAATTGCAATTTCTATCCCAAAGGTCTGCTAGTACTATGCTGAAATGATTTGCTTAAAATTGTTACTTGTAAACAAAAGAATAATTTCCCCCTATATTTATTTAGGGGGAAATTTGCTCCGGATTTTTTTTTTTTCATCCAAACTTCTGAATTTTGCAATTTCGTAGTATTCATTGTTTAAGTGCAGATAAAATTCATTGTTTAAGTTTTTTCTGGAGTTTTTTTCTGTGTTTTTTTCTGGGTATATCTCTGCAGGTTGTTTGAAACAAACTCGATTAGTTTCCCAAATAATTTGTCAAAACTAACTTGGCGTATTTATAAGTCAACATAAAAATGGTGTCCTACAAATTAATACTGTACAATTCAACACCGTAATTTTTAACACCTAGTCTTTTCACTAATAAACAATTGAAACCCACAACAATTTAACACCTTTTTTCCAGTTTAAAAACGTACATTTTAACACCTTGTCATTTCACTATTAAACATAATGCTGTATGACTTCCTTATCTTAAGTCTTATCAGACCAAAGTAAATCCTGGAATTAATGCACGCACCATAAAAAAAATACTGGTTTATCTTAATTATATATGCTAAAATGAGGCTTCCTAAATTACTGAAGGCTCTGATCGACAAGTTCTTAATTTGTTTTCAATTAGATTAAACCATTGTATATACTATAAAACCTGTTTGTGCCAATTCATACCAGTCTGTCGTAAAATTTCTCACAAATATACTGTTCTGACAGTCAATTTATACTGTACTTAAGCGAAAAACAAACGCAAGCACAGTAACCAAATAATGATTGAGTCATATTTCGAATTCACAGTTTCATCTAAAATTAAGCCATTTCTTAGGCGAAGAATTTTGTTTCATGCAAAAAAATATGTTTACCGAAAAATATCAAACACGCAAATGTCAAGCAACTGCCATTACAGAAAAAAAAACGAATTGGTCGAAACGCGTGGAGAGCATAACCATGACATTTTAGCGGGTAAAATTAGATGCCCGAAATGTCTCAAAGCATTTTAAAGGTCTCCACGAGAAATTTACCCCGACTGTTGCAATTGCCCGAGCAGTTTTGCCATTTACAAATGATTTGGCCACTCAATTTGCCCTCCCAACTAAAGACAAACTGATCCGAACGGCTTATGTCCGTTTAGGAAGACAAAACTGATTTGTACTTTTTCAGAGCGTTATCTAGTTTGTGTTAAACCATATTAAATTTTGTCTCAATTTTGTTTATTCTTTCGTTTTAACAAAATTCAAATTTTAATGATAACTAAAAATTTGTCAGCGTTTTAAAAAAGACGTGTCCTTGCAGACTCCCCGAAAGGTAACTAATCGCAAAAACTAGACTCGTGCCTTAGCAATTTAATCCCGCGACAACCGCCCTTACTTCTGAGAAGCTAGGTTGAGACAAGTGGCTGGCAAACCCTATAGCTTTGCGTTTACATGCCAACAGTTCAAAAAAAGCTGACAAAACGATCAATTTAAAAGTTAAAGTTCGAAAATGAGTCTTATAAAAAATGATTTTTTAGTCTTTTGGAATTGGTTAAAGCTTTTTCTCCGACTTTCGATGAAAACTGAATATTTACGCTCGGTGTGGTTTTTTTGTGCAGTCAATTTTTGCCGATCGATTTTATAGTTTACGACAAATCTTACTAATAGCGCATTGAAGATATCGACTGCCTGAATTCAAATGTAAAAAGAAATTTAAACTTCGATTATTTTTTGGAAAATTTTGGGGGTTTGAAATAATCATAAATTACCATGTTCTGGAGTTAATTATGCGCTTTGAAGAGTTTATTCATATTGCTGATAGCGTAATGCAAATTAATTATCCGTGGCAAATTATCCCGCTCAACAAAAATGTGCCGAATTGAATTTAGGCTAGTTAATCAGATCGGTCCTGTTAATTTCGTACGAGTCAACATTTGAAACTTTGGTATTGCCCAAAATTTATAAGTTTTCAAAATTTTCTTTTCCTAAAAACTATTCGATATGAATTAAGGGATAGTCAGAACTTTCAGGGCTTTCCCCTGATATATGAGCAGTCTTGTTTCAATTTCTATACCGGCTGAAACTGTCTAGAAAATTAGGTCGTTTTTGCCAAAGGTTGTCTAATTATTTGCGGGCTTTTGAAATTCATTGAACTATTGCTTGTTTTTGGTTCATTTTGGAATGAATCATTGAAATTATTGGCAAAGTCAATTCTGTTCAAGACTTACGCGAATTAAGTAGCGCGAAACTGTCTCGCTTTAAATGGCTAAAATTTCTCTCGTTCAATTTTTGATGTTTACCGAAGTCCTTTTTTGATGTTTTCTTTTCATTTTGGATTAAAACCCTGTTAATTTATCGAAATGATTTTAACATGTAGCGATGTTAAATTGCTAAGGCAACAAAAAATAGGGAGTGAAATTGTATGGCGTTAAGTTGTTTAGAGATAAAAAAAAAAGGGGGGAACCCATATAAATATGAACAAAACATTTTGAAATTGTTTTGAATTATAATTGGCTTACTCTAGCCAATCATATTGAAGCAAAGTAGTTTCATTTCAAGATGTTTAAATTTTAATTTTCAGGCAGAATAAGTAAAAAGACCAGATCCTTCTTCACCGTCAATTTTATTTCCATCCCTTGCTTCCGCGTTTTTTTTGCAGAAATAGAAAGATAAACTTCAGTGAAAATTTCAGTGAAACTTCAGTGACAAACTTCAATGAAAATTTGAAATCCACGATATTAACAAGAAATCGATTGCCACTTTTTTCTAAACTAAATATGCCTTTGCATCTGTCGCTAAAATCCGCTCTGTCCGTATAATTCAAAACATCGTCTGCCGAACTAAAGCCAACTCCGTCTTTGATTCTTTTTTGGAAACAAGCAAAAGATTGGCTGCAGGTCCGATGCTAGTAACAAGGAATTAAGAAGAAAGATGGAACATTGCGAGAAAGCTCATCAACCTTTTTTTAGACTGCTATCATAATGACTATTAAAAATCATGCTACTAGTATAATGACTACGAACAAAGTCTGTTTAGGAACCATTTAGGATTCTGTAGCCTATTTAGAAACCAGCAAACTACCGAAGTTTATGAACTTGCAAGAACAACCAGCAAATGACAGTCGAATTTATCTGAAATCTCCCAAACTACACCGAAGTTATGTTGATCTCAGAATTTTTGATACTCTTAACTTGCGTTATATTCGATTTATTGCAATGGGAGGCCAAGGTGAAGTTCACCTAACCGAAGACAGAATTAGCAAACATCAATACGCAGTGAAAATAATTGAAAATATACGTAACACAACTTCAAATGAGTTCGAAAGACACGCACTTGAATTCTTCCAAAAGCACCCCAAACCTGGAATTCTTCGACTTGCATTATCACAGGAAGATGAAGATTTTGTGTATCTTATAACCGATTTCATAGACGGCCTAACTGTTAGAGATTTGATACGTCTTTCAAGCCAAATAGCGGATTGGCCGGTTAGAGTTCAAATTCTTCGGCCTCTGATTGCTGAGTCGTGTCAAATTGTAGACTTCATGCACCAAAATGGATTCGTTCACCGCGACTTAAAAGCTGGAAACTTTTTTCTCGATATGAATGGTCACGTGACTATAGGAGATTTGGGTACATGTATCGAGACGAGTTTGATCAAACCAAGGGTGATTGCGGGAACTCCGCCCTACGCAGTTTCACCTGAAATGTTTCTAAAGTATAATCAATAGTTTAGCCTAATATTGTATCAGTTACAAAAATGATAGCAAAAAACGATGGCACCCTTTGAGTTTCTCGAAGCTGCTGCTTTTTGTAGTTTTTTTGGGGATGGTTTTGTTTTTCAAGCTAACTAGAAATCCTTTGAATTTATCTCAACAGAGTAAATTAAAATCAATATCAAAAGCCAATGAAAGCTCGAGAATTGCAATCGCGAACTGTAAACAAGACTGCTCGTACGGGGGCGAAGCCCTGATTAACCCGACTACCGTTTAAGTTGCTGATAAAATTTGTTGTTTGTCGAAAAGTGATAAAGCTTAATCGGAATTTTGATTTTTTTTCATTCAAGTTTTTGGTCCGACTTTTGAAGAAAGTGAGGATTATAAATGCCTGGGGTGGTTTTTTATTCAGACCAATTTAACAGCAAATGGGTATCAACCCGGAAATCTTTGGATTGCTAAACGAGTATTTTTGCAATAGACTAAACTTCTGATGGCGTGGCTGCTCAATTAACATTTTTATAGATTCAATACGCAAAATATTTACGCGTGGCATAATACCTGCACTCATAATGGTTCCACATTGAATTTAGAACTCTATTCTTCTATATATTTGCTGTATTTTGTAAGAGGCGGCTTCTGATGTATATTTTTGATTAATTAACACGGTAAGTTCAGCCGAATGCTTGATAAATTAAATGCTCCAAAATGACGCATTTTTGGGGTACGTCTTTTACTGAAAATTTCGAAAATTGAATTGCACTACACTAATTTTGGTGCAATTTAAAGCAGTTTTTGTATTCTTCAGTTGTTGTCTAATCTTACCCAATTTGCGAAAAACGCGTTTGATTTTTCCTATGTTGTTCAGTTAATTTAAATCAGCACTATATTAAGTGCTTACTGAGATAAGATGCTCATTGTTCCCTTTTTTGTAAAGGTATGAACTGATTATGCATGGATGGGGTTGTTTTTTCATATGGCTAATTTTGGCAATCAAATGAACAATTTTTAACGACATTTTTTTGCCTCAAGGAGCTATACCTTTGCATCGTATATGGAATTTATATAAGCAAACAGCTTGCCTCAACTCAGTTTCGAAGGGAAGCTAGTGCAAAAAAAAGTAAGCACAATTAAAACTATGCAATTTATTGTTCCGACTTTCGTAACGAAAGTAACGGAATATTTGTGCTCGGTGTGGGTTTTTTTTCTGCAGACAAATTTCGACTTTTTAACTAGCCATTTTGACGATGGTTTTTTACATCATTCAAAATGTATTGGTTGTTCTATGCTTAAATTTGAAAAGATATATCACCTGTGATCATTTTTCGTATAGTTGCGGGGTTTTAAAGATTGCCATTTTGGCCAATTTGGGACAATTAACGCGCGATATATTTCGCGCTATTGACGCGTAAGCGGAGATTTAATCCGTCTTAGAAAATGTTCCAAGTTGGTTGAAGGAAGCTTATTTGCAATAATTGATTCGTTACCAGGAGCGAAGTTCATCACTTTGTACTTTGTTTATTTTCACAATATTTTTTTTTCGTTTTATTAATTATTATTTTTTGTTATTACTGCTCCATAAACATCAAAAGGCAGTCGGAACATTCAGGACTTCGCCCTGATACGAGCAGTCTGGTTTCTATTTTGCACTCTATGATAGCATTCATAATTGAATTAAGGCAAGTTGTTTGATTATAAAACAAATATGCTAAACTATTTCCCAAAAGGGTACCATATGGTAACAGTGCAGACTATTGGTCCATCGGAGTTATGGTTTTCGAATTCTGCTTTGGAAAGCTTCCATTTGAGCCATTCAACAGAGCAATGTTGAAATCTGACAACCAAACTGCTATCAAAGAAATCAGACGTAGACTTATGTCGCCAGATATTCCTCGCCATGCTCCACAAGAGATTCGGCAACTCTTGGCTGGGTTACTAAATTCGGATCCACATAAACGTCTCGGGAGTCCAGAACTAGGCGGGATCCAAAGCATTCAACAACAACCGCTCTTCAGGGATTTCAAGTGGGATGATCTGAGAAGTCCGTTAAATGAGGAGCTTCTAGTCGTAAAATGGATCAAAATTATTCGGCAGAAACGAGAGAAACGGAAACAAAAATTCGCCGAAAAAATTAAAAATAGTACTTACAATCACACAAACCAAACCTTTGTATAAACTTTACTTAGCTTAATATATCAATTGTAAAGTAAAATTAATAGCAAATCATTTAAGTTTAATAAAATCATATTTCTGAGATGTTTTCCTTAAAAGATTGATATTTGGGGGTTAGTTTTTCCCAACTCGGACATCTTTGTCGGACTTTTAAAAAGCAATCTTGATAATCACGATTTTCAGCTCCATTTAGAGTGAAACCAGCATCCAGCGTATGCAAGAAAAAAGTCTAGAAGAGAGTGCTATATGAAATTTGACTGCATAAAAAATCAGTTTCAATAGAGTTCTTTCGATAACAAAAGTTAAGCGAATAAATTGTTAATTTGATAGTTGTTGCACATAAATTTAAATCATGCTGATGATTTCGTTCCCTTACTGTACCACAGAATCATACCCCCAAATTGAACTAGTTCATTAATTGATCATAAAAAATTATTCTCTCGATTTGTAACATGAAGGCTTGATTAACAAGATCCTGGAAAATTTCGTTGAGAGTATAATATTTCTTTTATGCTCTCAAAATTTCAACCCAATATATATTTCGAAGTTAGTCAACAAACATTCAAAAATTAACCTACTAGTTCTAAAATTGTTGTTTTCTTTCCCAGTTTCTGCAGGTTTGCCGTTTTATTTCAATCAAAAAGATTGTCAGGTTAAAAAAAACTTTGGATCACAACTGTTAAACCATGACAAAACATATATCAGAACTGTACTTCTTTGTAAAATTATAATTTAAAGTCAAAAATTAATTTTTCTATATAACGAAAGAATTAATTAAATCTAATTTGTAAAAAAAAAATTTCATTCAAAATATTGTTGTTCATGGTTCAAAAAATATCCTGGCGATCTCTTGCTGCTGAAACAAAGCCACAAACATGCGTTAGCTCAAACTACTGGCTGAAATTTCTTATCTCTTTGCCCTTTGACCGTATCACAAGGCCTCAAACTTAAAGCAAGAGCTCAAGCTTAAAAAAATTTGATGTGCGATCTTTTTTTTAAATATGAGGTTTGATGATTGCCAATTGACCAATTTGGGATGAAACTTTAACGCTCACAATTTTCAGCTTTTCATCCAGGGGCGGATCTAGGATTTTTTTTGGGGCTGATCTAGGGGGGGGGGATTTTCAAAGAAAAATTCAAAAATTTTGTCGACCTTTTTTTAGGTCCACCAAATTGATTTTCTGAGCTCTCCCAAATCAGCATAAAGGCCTTATTTTGACAAAACTTTGTGCGTGGCAGGCAAATTTTTGAAAAACAAAACCGGCCAAAAAAGGCTATTCAGGCACTTTTTCGAAAAGTTTGATAAAAAAAATGCGTTTTTTTCGGCGTGCACTCTCCCTTCAAAATTAGCTTTGAGCTTTTGATTATGTAATGCTTGAAATGATGCCTAGGTTTGTGGCGAAAATTAAATATTCTCTAAAAACTAATATAAAATTCGGTTTTCTTGCACTTTTTTTACCTGCAGAGCAGCTGAAAAGTTGATTGGCTTAAAATAGTCAAAGACCAAATTTATGATTTGGTCGAAGACCAAATTTAAAACTAAAACAAAAAATTTGTCATTTATAGGATGAAGACTGATATGTATACAAAACATACTACCCAAGCGCGAGGTTCTTTTTTCTGATTTAGTATAATAAAATCACCCCCTTCTAGTTACTCTATAAAATCAGACCAAACCAGTCTTTTTCCAGTTTCTTATCAAAGTGGAAGAGGGGGAGGGGCGAAAGAGGCGCAGCTGATTCCTTCTAAATCGAGGAGGGGGGTTCTGAGGTCTAGGTGAAGAGTTATTTATAACGATTACTTCAGTGATTTATTAAATATTACTCTTATTTAATTTTGAAGTCACGAAAAGATCAACGAAAAAGTCTCCATCAAGTTGACATAGTCATAAAAATCTGGCATGTTGTTGCTTGCTGATATTAGTCGTCAATTGGGTACTGATAACTAGATCGGGTCGTCTTTTATTATTGTGAGTGCCGATTAGGTTGACGATTCCGGTGTGGGAGTCTCTTTCTCCCAGGCATGTTAAAATAATCAATATAAACATAATTATCGATAATTTGTATTTATATTGATACTTTTTCGAATCTTCTCCGATTTCTTTCTACATGTTTGAGTGTGTGTATATGTGTGCGTATGCGTGTGTGCGTGTGTGTATGCGTGTGTGTGTGAGTTATGTGAGTGTGTGTGTATGTGTGCGTGTGTGTGTGTGTGTGTGTGTGTGTGTGTGTGTGTGTGTGCGTTTGTATAAACAGTTCGAGATGGAGTTGATTGCGTTCAATGGCCATCAATTGCCTCTCTGCGTGGCGTTGGCTGGACAGCAGAAAGCAAACCTAAAAAACTCATACATATCAACAACTCCAAGCGCCTCCCATTTGAGACATTTCCACAAAACTCGGCACACACTCAACAACTCTCACCTCAGCATGGATATCAATAGACAGCATATCAGAACCTACCAGAATTCATTGCTCCGCAAAACGTGAAACACAATCAAGAAAAGGTATAGCAAAATTTCAGCAATCAGCAGAACTTTTCATGGTTTTTCAGTTCAGTGAATCAGTTTCAAATGTCCAGCTTTTTCCACTCGACGGAAATCCGCAATAATGGTTAGACTGGATATTTCAACGCCACAATCGGCACTACAATCATGTCCCATTCCGAGATGCTGTTTCATCTACAACGATTTTTTTTGGTGGTGCAAAAGCTCTCATGGATGCAACGGTTTAATATAAGTTTCAGCAGTCCAACTCCTGGGAAACGACTTTGAAAACGCGACAAAATAGTGACAGCCGTCATTCGAAGATTCGACAGCAGTAGAAGCTCGACTTTATGACACAACAGAAGCTTCATGGACCTCGCAAACTTCCTGCAGACATTGCTTGACACCTTCACAATGTTTGGATTCCATCAGGACCTCCACTCTAAAAGAATCGTTCAGACAGTTTTGGAATCGCTACATTCTTCAACAAAACCTTCACTCATCAACTTCAACATATGACTCTAAGCCTAAGCTACGCTGAAGCCTGCAGCGAGCTGCTCAGCAACAACCAACAACTGAACAATCAGACCAACAGCCCAAACGCTCAACGCTAACCAGAGCAACATCAGACTGGACACAAGAAACCATGAAAGGATTCTTGCGGGAAAAGTGCCAATACTTCATAGCAATGAATCTCATAGACCAACTATCACACGAAAAACCCCGATATGGAAACAGAGTACCAGGAAACCGTCAACACGGTTCTTGAAGAGGATTTACTATCGAATTAGATTACCCTCCAGACAATGTGACAGGTAAATGATATTTGCTTCAACACACAGTAACATTTATCAACAAATCTGGAAAATTAAGCAATGAACTGAACGCCTCAAACATCTTCAAAGGAGTTTCTCTCAATAGTACTCTTATCACTTGACCGGGCCTACTCGTTAACCTCACAAGGATTTTCATGAGACTTCGCAATGACCAGATTGCCATTTCACCAGGCTTCGAGGCTATGTTTTTCCAAGTCTTTGTTAAGCCCCAAGATTAGCGCTACCTGTGCGTACTATGGAATGACAACCAACAAAAGCCTATAATCTACCGGTATACTTGCCACATCTTCGTTGCAACAGTATCACCTTCTGTTGCCTGCTACGCTACTCAACAACCTTCCATCAACAGCGCAGACAGTTTTCCCAGTTTGGTGCCAAATAGAGAAAAAAAACATCTGCATGGACGACCTCTACAAAGTCGTATTAAAGCCTGCCGAAGCCCCCAGATGGGTCAAATACCCACCAAAAAGTTCAGCCTTTAAGGTTTCAACTTGACAAAGTGGAGATTTAACTCTAAACAGTTTCTATGGACGGTCAAGGAGATTGATATAGGACATAGCCAAGCCACCAGATGGGTCAAATACCCACCGAAAAGTTCAGCATTTAAGGTTTCAACTTGACAAAGTGGATATTTAACTCTAAACAGTTTATATGGACGGTCAATGAGATCGATATAGGACATAGTCTCACATCAGACGATAGCTTTCTTTATTGAGTTCTAAGAGTCAAGTGGAAGCAAGAATGCGCAAATATGGAAGCAAGAACGGAAGCAAGAGTCTTTGATGTTACGACGTCAGAAATATCTTTAAATTGCTTCAAGGACTCGAACTAAATGTACAAAAACTCTATCCTAAAATCTATGACGGATCTCAGCGAATGGATTGACGAACGAAATCAGCTCAACAAAGTTGCTTACCACGAAAACAGTTCAGATCAGGAAAAAACAATTTTGACATACAACTTCATGACTATAACGACGCCTCGGAGCTTGCCCTCGCATCAGTTGCCTACTTCATGATCACCTTTGCCGACGACACAGTTGAAGTTAACTTCATCATCAAAAAAACACGAGTAGCCCCCTCAAAATCATGACAGTGCCAAAGCCGGAGCGACAAGCCGCAAAAAATATAGTCAAGGTTTCACATTTTGTCAAAAGAAAGCACGACATCAAGGTTGACGGCACAACACACTGGACAGAAAATGCGAGCACGGTCCTTTTACCGTGGATCAATTCTGCAAATTACCGCCATCGGATATGGGCGACTTGTCGCCTACCACTGAAATAGTTCAGAATAGTAAAGAACGTTCTCGACATACAACTTCATGTCCTTAACGAAGCCTCGGAGCTTGCCCTCGCGTCAGTTGCTTACTTCTGGATCGCCTTTGCCGACGACAGAGTGGAGGTAAGCTTCATCATCAAAAAAGCACGAGTAGCCGCCTCAAGAGCCTAACAATACCAAATGTGGAGCGACACGTCGCGAAAAATGGAGACAAATTTGCCCAATTGGTCAAAAGACAGCGCGGCATCAAATTTGACAGCAAAACACTGTACAGACAGCTTAAGCACGACCGAACGGGGTTCACAGTAGATCAATGCTGTAAGTTGCCGTCATCGGATCTGCCTTGCCAACAGTCTAAATTAACCTTGGACTCGACGTCGCAACAAGATTGAGATATGTACCTAGCGAAAATAACCCTGACGATGGAGCACGTGGATACAAAGCATGCAACATTACAACAGGTTCTCCTTGTATAAAACGACTG